AAAAACGTTTTCATTTAAAGATCAATAGAGAAGCATTATTGATGATTACTGTTTCTATTTTTGAATTTTAGAAAGAAGAAGAAAGATTATTTATCTTGAATTCTCAAGTCTTTTGAATCTTATTGTTCACAATGAAAAAACTATGTTCAAATAAAGTCATTATGATTTATACAGTTTACTGTTTTTATTCTACTTTATATTAACAATGCATCTCACTCTTTCGCTAGTCATAATCCATGCGGCGTCCATATTCCTGTGTTTCCCATAACCTTCAGTGGTTTCAGAATGTTTATTGGGCTACCTGTGTGATGTACGTACTGTTTTGTCGGAGTTAGTCGCAAATATGAATACATCCCYCAAACTCTTAGAATCCACTTAAAAAAGCTTTTTTTATTACATTCAATCTAAATAATGCAATATTGCAATAATGTTGGACTTGAAAGTGCTACTGCGTGACACTTTAGTGTGACCTTATTCAACTATCTAACAGCAAATCACAGGCATGCCTTGGAACTTCATATGAATATTTTGGAGGTGATTTAGCACACATACAGAACAGCAAAATGTTTGAAGGATAAACGGGTTTTGATTTTGAAAGGGATATGACGTCATAGTACACATGCTTTTTGGGTTCCCTGTGTGTCAATGCACGGAAACACACTGTTGCTGTAGAATTGTGAGGCTGATCTCTGCATCTCAACGTGGACTAAATCTACTTTAATACTAGCTAATCGATCTTAACAATATTAACAACGTATAGAAGTATACAACGCTAATTGTGAAATTTCTTTCTGTGAAGTCAGACTCTGCTACCGCTYCGAGAGAGTTCAAAAACAACTCATTCGGCATCATCGTGGTGTGAGTTTGGTTAGAGTACTACAGACTTTGCAGCAGCCGAGGTGAGTAGAAGGTTTAACCAAGTCCTTTTAAGTAATCATGTTTAGCTGCCCTTTGAACCGTTAATATTTTCAGWAAATTATGGAAAAGAGCCTACAAGGCCGTTGTCAGTCGATCCAGTTTGTGTTTTTGCTTAGTCAGTATCGATATGATCATATATTAAATTTAACACAGTTGAGCGTCAAATAGAAAAAAATAGCTACTGACGACTGGGAAAATCCCTTTTGGTTAAACTCACACATTGAAAATATCCTTGAAGTTTTTATTCAGTCGGAGCTTTGAGCTTGGTTGTGCGTGCAGTGATATATATTACCCACACATGTAGGGTGAGTAGGAGTTTAATATTGTAGCATATTTAGGTCCTTAAACAAGCAGGCATTGCTGAAATTCTAACCAYTAATGCTTGGAAATATTTTAGGTTAATTTAGTGGTGTACAAGAATACTTCCATCACTGTCCATCAACCCAGAGGTTAAAAAGCTCATATCTATGATCATAGTTAGTGTCCTTTGATCTGCTGCTGTCTACAGCTCTTTACATCATGTGTCATGTTCTATTTATATATTTGCTATGTATTCATGAATCGAAACTAAGGGTTTTCATATGCTCCGGGGTCTTTATGTTTACTTCTTCACAACACACTGATATTAATTGTCAATGAGAACGAAAGCTATTGACAACGAATGGGAGAAAAAGCCTTTCGAAGTCCCAATTAAAACCGGAACACACTGAAAATACTGCTTAGCTTCTATCATAAGTGCTATTTATATTTTGTCCTTTTTTTCTCATAAGAATATACGAGTATAAATAAAGCTATCGACTAACTGTGTAGACATAAACAAGTAGTCACTGAAACGGAAAATTACAATGGAGTTGTAGTGGATTGATGGATTGTGGAGCATTAGGGGGATTTCAAATCGAATGCTTTGAATTAACTGCTTATGGTTTATAAAAGGAGAMCTGGTCATTCACATTGATCTGGTCGTATTTTTCTCAGAAATTAAGTATTTTTTGYTGTRATATCGGCTTAAAAATGACGCCTGAATGTTTTTGTGTGGAGCGATGGATTGCTTTTGCGGTAGAGCTGTAGGATGGACCTTCTTTGCACTGACAATGGCGGGTAAACACGTAAAATGATAGCGCTGGGATCTCTCCTTGACATCCGTTTTCCATTGGGACTTCCTGTCCCTCCGTTATCCCGGCACGACACGGATGCGAAGGARACTATCCCCACTTTCTTGATTCTCAGGAAATATGTTGCTATTCATATACACGAAATATAGGATAATGATTTTGCATGCCCCCCCCCTAGCATAGCTTTTGTTTGGGTGCCCCCCTGCCCCCCTGATTTATAAGTATGTTATCTTCCGAGGAATCGCATCAGAAACTCGGTGGCGTAATGGTATAAGACGGCGCATATAGACTGGACGGTAGGGGATCGAGTCGTGAGGGAGTCATGTATCAAAGACCTTTTTTCACTAAATTAATGTTAAACTGATTATTTCTAATAATTTGATTATCATTAGCTAGTAGTAGTTGGAAACATGGTAGAAGTAACTGGAAATAAGGTAGAAGTAACTGGAAATAATGTAGAAGTAACTTGAAAAAGGTAGAAGTAACTGGAAATAAGGTAGAATACAAGGTACGAGTACTTCCTCTGGTTTCAAGTTACTTCACGTGGTACAAATTACAAACAGGGATTGGCTGAATACCTCATGAATAATTAATGAGTTTTTGAANGGTCAACTTGCCTTAACAACCGTAAACTTCTGTTGTGTCACTGCTAACGAGTAGTCGTTTGAAAAGATAAATGGTATTTTCCCAGTTTTTACAGTCTTCTACGGTCTCCAAACAACCCTCTTTCAGTGGATTTGTAATGATATTGAATGTAACTAAGAACTGTTTCTAGATGGATCGGCTTCCAAAGAAAGCGTTGATGATAGCACCATCGTATTATGAATTGCCTGAAAATCTATGGCTGACAGGCACTGAGAGAGACATCGAGGCTATGAAGAAGGTTTTAAAAGAAAAATGCGATTTTGAAGACAGAGAAATCAGGGTATGTGATAGCAATGAATAGATCAGCTGCCCTAGGAGGTGAGGGGTAAGGGTTAGCAATGAATATATCAGCTGCCCTAGGAGGTAAGGGGTTAGGGTTAGCAATGAATATATCAGCTGCCCTAGGAGGTGAGGGGTTAGGGTTAGCAATGAATAGATCAGCTGCCCTAGGAGGTAAGGGGTTAGGGTTAGCAATGAATAGATCAGCTGCCCTAGGAGGTGAGGGGTTAGGGAATCTGTAAGCATTGAGGGGACAAACTCAATGATTGATGCATATCTTTTTAAAATCAGTTATTGATGGGTTCAGTTGCTTTTCGTCAGATTTTGTTTCGGTTCTCATAATGAGAATAGACYTTTCTCATTAGCAGTCGTACTCTACTCTCGTCCCCAGGCGTCTTTAAACCAAAAATTAAAGTGACGTCAAGCAATAGAGTAGCCTGGARACGAGACAACCTCCRTATTCTTCTGCTTGAAATATTTTAAAATCATATAAAAATTGATCGTAAAACATCAATGTGTAAGGGCTCATGYCGTAATGATTATTGTAGTGATGACTGGTATAAGTCACATTAAYAACAAGTTACTGCGCCTGTTTTCCAGGTTTTACAAGGTGATGAAGCGACGAAAATTAATATTCTCAAAGTGTTGGATGATTTTACCCGTTCATGTGAAGAGAGAAGTGTGCTGCTTGTATATTATTCTGGTCATGGAGTATACCTACAAGACTCACATGACGAGGGGATCTTCCCTACAATCCGCAAAGACGAATGGCCAATAACAGTAAGATCCTTTTTTCTCACAACAGGTCGACGTGATCAGTTAAAGACTATTAATCACTTTGCACGAAGAATAATAGAGATACTGTCCAGCGTCAAAAATCAAACTTCATCTTCCCTTGATTATCCATCCAATGAAAACCAGCAAAGCAATCCCACAATGCAAATCCATACACGTTGCAGCTGCCAATGTTTGTCATAGTTTTCTTTTACAMTGTAGCGTCGTCTTAATTAGTGTCTGATTAATTTGTATTTTCAATCTCAAGTCAAGTCATATACTTTTTTTGTTATAATGCATGTACACCTACAGKGTTTTGCAAAGCGAAACGCTGTCTATGATGATTGTGTCACTGCAACTCCTCCACGTACCTTTTTACAATGTTGTTTGTTGATGAAATCCTAAGAGATTGCCAAGGACAAGCAAGAGACATGTGTGCAAGCTTGCAATGGGAATAAAGTTWCCATTTATTTTCTAGATGATCAAAGCCAAATATACATTTCAATTTATCTATACAATGGTATATACAATTCAACTGCTCAACACCTATAGTATATAAAAATCCTGTTTTTGAGAGGCTTGTATATAATATATACAAGCCTCTCAAAAACAGGATTTTTATATACTATAGGTGTTGAGCAGTTGAATTGTATATACCATTGTATAGATAAAGCTATTATTATTGTTTTTTCAAAAATGGTCTTATATGTTCTTGCAGCGACCAAAAGAAGAAGTCTGTATAACCGGAAGTGATTTGTGTCCTTTCTTTGACAAATTATCCAGAAGAGCTGTCCGTTGTACCGTAATATTCGACTGCTGTCATTCTGGACAGCTGTATCGCGTCACTGATTTCAATGAAACTAATTTAAAGCCAAGGCAGGTAAGACTGTCACCAAACCCTGTCACGTTTCGGCCATTATTCACTCTATTACTCTCTTAAAGTATCTGAGTCATTCATAGCATACCTTTTACCTCTCATCTGCTCCTCAAACTGGAAATTAATTCAGCGGACATTCCGTGCAATCCTCATCCCAACAACAAAAAGTCTTGCTAATCTATGCATATCACAACCACTGCCTCTATGCACTAACTGCGAGTGTTTAAATATTGTTTCAGATCATTCTAAGAGACGAACCAGCTCAATCAACACGCAAACTTARACGCTACTTCAGTGTGTCGGATCGAGGGGGATGGACTCCCAGTGAAAAGGACTTTTTCTTTTATTTCGCRGCATGTACCACGGTACAGGTTGCACTAGAGGAGATCAATAAAGGAGGGCGGATGACAATGGCTATTATCGAAACTCTGAACAAACTAGAGTGTCTTGATGAAGTCACTTATGATGCTTTCTTTAGGTATTTTACATTTCTCTTCTTAGTTCTTTCTCCTGCGTGATATAATTCCAATTCGACTATTATTACTGGTTCAATCTTTGTTCTATACATGCTCTTTAGACTTCTCAACAAAGAGTTCAAAGACAAGGGATGGGATAATTGGCAGACGCCACAGTTCGAAGCAGTAAACTCCCATACAGTCTTATTTGGAGTCCGAAAAAGTACGTTAAAAAACATTTGTAAAGGAACTCTCGACCTTTATCASAATCTTTGATTTTAAATCATATTCATGATTCAATTGCCCTATTTCAATATGTCGCGTCACAGTATTTTTACATTGTGGAAAGATGCTCAAAAAAACAGTGGAAATTTGGACCCTGCACACTCRTATATAAGTAGTAGAGTTTTGATATATCGACGATCTATGTATCAAAGATTGCTCATGTGCATTTTATGTTATATGCTGAGTCAATCTGATCCCCTCTGGCGACCATAATCCCTAAAACAAACGAATGTTTCGATGTGATTTCTTTGATTTCTTTAGGACAATTTAAACCTGAAAATGTCTATATGTGAGAATGTTAGTAAGATGAGTACATTAAGTTATTCAGCAATATATTTTAGCAGTGTTATAGTTTAATAACTGGTTTAGGGAAAGACTTTTCTTTCTATTACCGATCGTTGACACATGTTATTCTTTATAATTGCAACATACTTTTGAAGTATGCCTTTTTGGCGTAGGTAAGAGGAAACGTGTCTGCGATACATTGTTYTGACATAAGGTTGATGACTGATTTCGTCTTTGATGCGCAGTTACGACACAAGAAGGAGGGATAGAAATAACTGACGTTCTTAATGAGAACGAAGTTGTTGTATCTTCTGGATACCTGCAGAACTTAAGAGCAGGAAGGTACAATGTATTCAGAACAACAGCATCGAAGGACAGTGTCAACAAAGGAGATGACTCAAAGGACTGGTTGGGGCACATCGTTATTAATGAAGAACAGATTGACACAACGCAGGCGGTTGGCTATATTTCTTATCTCCGCCGTGAATGTGAGATGACTGTAAGTACGATTTAGTTTCAGACAGTCTCTATAGTGAAGTCAACTCTCTTTATAAAGAAACCATGGGGACTGTAATTAAGTGTTCGCAATGGCATGTGTCAAGTATTTTTAAGTTGGCAAAAATAAGTTTATAGATATAGTGCCTTAGCTCGTCGTTCCTGTCCCTGTACCCTTGTTCCCTGGATACCCTCTATAGTTTACCCTTGTTGCCTGGTTACCCTCTATAGTTTACCCTTGTTGCCTGGATACCCTCTATAGTTTACCCTTGTTGCCTGGATACCCTCTATAGTTTACCCTTGTTGCCTGGATACCCTCTATAGTTTTCCCCGCCCTGTCCTCCTCCTGTCCTTTCGTTCCCCCAAGGAATGCTGGCCTTGAAAACTACTGCCCATTTTTCCCACGAAATCCCCAAGTTTATACAATTATACCCAGATACATCTACTTTCTAGTCCTTAATGTTATGTTGACGAATTCATGATATCAATGACATTTTCAGTTTTATTGCCAGTTACGGAAAATTTGACTTCAACATTTTACAAATTATCGGCCATTTTCAGTGCRTATCGATTTTGCTTTAGCTAAACGAGGAGTGAAATGTAAGACTCAGTCTAAAGCACCAAACAGAGTCCAGTCCTGCCCTGCCCATTACTTGAGGAGTGYCCACATGGCACAACAGTTGTCTGTAGCAGGAAAGGAGTTCGTTGTTAGATGTCTGTTGATCTTTCAGGTTGGCTGTCTTGCATATATCGATGAACCAGAGACGGTGAATAACAGTGTGTACGTGTGTCCTGAACCAGGCTTGATTCCAGAAGAAAAAGTGAAGTTTCTTATAGAACACTTAAAGTCTACTCAGATGTTGAATGTGTCTAGAGCAAAGCCAACCATTCCAAACGCTGACTTGATTACCATTAGCTGCGAGCACGTTAAAGGGTACAATTACCATGTTTACTATGGTAACAATTATTATGGATATTATTRATAATTTAGAATGTATTTTTGCAGCTACGCAAGCTGGGTAGCTCGTCGAAGAGGTAAAGTYCTCACGCCAGCGATCACTGCTGGGGCCGGCCGTGAAAGTGTCGTTGCTAATAACTTACTGCGACATATAAGATACAACCTTCTCATGGATGCGGCAAAACCTCCAGATGATAATGAAGACTTGCTAGAAAATGTTTCCCTGAAAYTCTTAAAGGTGGAAAATGTCCAGGCATATACAAAACACACTAAGAAGGCGAGAATCCGCGAAGCACTGAATACTGGGAYTGACATTACTAATGGTAAGACCCGGACGGGGCCGGTTAATTTAAACCTAGGCCAATAAATTAGATTTTTCATACCCTACCCCAGACTAATCCAAAGAGTTATAGAGCTTATTTTGCCTACTTTTAAACGGAATTTACATTGTTTCTGTGTCGACCGAAAGCGTACCTTTTTATTGTCTTTTCTCAAAACCGAAACAATTATGAAATTAACGGAAAATTTAAGAATTTGAATTCTACATTTCTAATTTGCAGTTACCGATCGAAGAATTATTTTCAAGGCTCATGAATTTGACGAGAAAGGAAAAATTAAATTTGGCACCGGTGATTGTTTCTTATTCCAAGTCTCAAATGACAATGAGAGAAAGGAAGATACCGTTCATGTCTGTGTCATGCTGTATCAGTTTGATGGAGCTGTTAAAGCTATTTATCCAAAGAAATATGTAAGTGAATGAAATAAGAAAAGTTGAAAATGACTATTGTTTGCATGTYTAGGGTAGAGTYAATTGATTTTTGATGGGAGGSSGTAAGCAAATMCCAAAAAAATATATCGAGCAGAGCACGTAMCTTGTAACAAAGTGTCGATCAATATCAAACAGTCAAAAAATACTGAGCGATYGRWKGGARGRAARAAAAWAMATRCAYGMAMRAA